AAAAGTTCTACAATGGGCTTGTGTTACTCTTGTAATATGATTTATTTATTTTTTAAATATGATTTTTGAAAGACATTTTTTCATGTAACAGAGAAGGAAACAAGCTCCATGAGAATTGGTCCTGCCAAGCTGGCTGCACACGCTCTGTTTCTTTCATTAAAAGGCACAGATCAGGGATCGTTGGACTGGGAAGGGCTGCCTTGGTTTAACTCTCTCCTGCTCCCAGGAAACTGAGGCACGAGTTAAAATCGTAACTGCTCTTTTAAAGTCATCACGTTAATCCAAGCATTGACTGTTTGTCCCGTACAGGACAGGTAGCAGGCTACTCTGTCTGTCCTTGGTCCTTAGGCGTGGACCCTGTCATTGGATGCCAGGCTTCAAACATGGTGAGTCCATGTTTGTTGACTTTCTCATGCAAGACTCTCCTACCTGATAGCATGCAGACCCTGCATTCCTACAGATCGGTACACTACCGAGTCTGATGTCAGCAGTTTTTCAGCAAAAGTCAGCTCAGCTGTGGGATGAGTCACAGAAAGTGAAGGAGCTTTGGCTCACCAGGAGCACCAGCCTGCAGGGACACGGACGGAGCAAACCCCCACCCCCACCTCTCCATACCCTCTGTGCAGCAGGGCTGGTGAGCTATGGGTGTGGGTCATGGGTTCCCCTTCCTCCTGTCACAGCCAACGGAGCACTTGCCATCCAAGACATAGGACACGAAGGGAGAGATGTTCCTAGCACATCTGAATTCTGTGTTCCAGAAAATACCACGGAGAACTTTACTTTTTGTAGTAAGGGGAAATGCACGTCTCTCTTCACATTTTATTCATTTTTTTCTCCGTGCAAGATTTGGGAGAAAGCTACCTCCAGGGCGGAGGGACGCTTTAGCAGAAAGAGGGGTCCCAGAGGTGGGTGGCAAGTCTCCGGTGAGCCCCTCAGGGCTTTGTTGGGGTTTCCAGGCTTCAGGAAAAACTGCTGTGTTTTCACATACAGAACTTGGGGCTGCTTTACAATTTATGTCACTGAGTTCATGTACTATCACATTTCACGTTCTATCAAATTTCATAGAGTTAACAAAAAATGTTTTTGGACATCTGGATGTTATGTTGTAAAGTGTGTGGGTCACGGGCACGTTCTAACCCGGGGGAGGGGAGGGGTCAGGCCGCCTCCTCCCAACCCTCACCTCCTCCAGGGCACTTCCCAGATTCAGGCACAGCAACTGCATTGTGAAGTATGCAGTGCTGCAGGGATGGGGTCACAATGACTCCCTCCCCAGGCAAGGTGGTGAGAGCTGCAGGCCTCTTAACAAAGGGAGGGAGACTCCAGGTCTCCAAGTACCTGGGCCTTGACCGATGTTTGCCCAGTGATGAGTCTGTGTGTATCACGTGTAGTAAGCAAGTGCGTGTGTGTGTGTGGGTGTGTGTGTGTGTGTTGTCCATTTGATAATATAGCAAATGTTCACTTCCCGGGGCTTTCGTTTAGATCCCAGCTTTAAAGAAAGGCATTTTACACAAAGACCTTGTGGGCGTTGTGAGTGTGCCTCCTTCCCGTGGTCGTGGTTACACGGGCACAGAGCTTCTGTAAGAGCCCCGGGGGTGCAGTCACGCTCCTGCCATCCTGTTCCGCCCTGGGGTGGCTGTCAGGGCCTAGTGCTGCTGCCCTTGAGCCCGCCCAGCTGGGCCGATGGATGTCTCTCTGGTAACCGAAACCAGCAATGACTTCATCTCAAAAATTTCCGAGCAGCACAGGTCAGCGCGGGAGTGTGGACGAAAGTAACAGTGTTCCCAGGGCAGCTGAGGGGTGGCAGTGAGGTGTCCAGAAACCACGGCTGGACGAGAACCACCCGGCACAGCTCACAAAGTAACGGTTCAGCAGACCTGTGCTTACGGTACAAAGGTATTCTTGTCATATTACAGCTCAACATGCTGACAAATAAACAGAACTGCACTGAGATGTGCTACCCTGTAAACACACAATAATCAGTATATGTTTTATAGAAGCCTAAAGAAGAGAATAAAAACAAGATTAAAATATAGGACTCAAATAAATACATGTCTGTGGCTGTTTCTTAAATGAGATGAACTCAGGGGATTCTAAATATTAATATGCTAAATAAAATCTATTTTCAAATGAAGGAAGTAACTAATAATCTTACCTTGTTAATAACTGCAAACTAGGTGGGCATTTTTTTTTTTTATTTTAGTTCATTTCTGCTGACATGGCTTTTAAAGAAATATACCGACACATAAAATGAAAGAAGAATTCCAAGGCACATATGAAAGGAACTGTCCTGAAGCTATTAAATTTTGTGCATAATATTTTATTCAAGGTGATCGAAGGGGATGGCGGTGGAGCCGACCAAAGGCAGGTGAAGCAGCACAGGCAGCTCAGGGCCCCGGGGAGGCCGCGCCAGGGTGGTCGGGGCTGCTTTGTTTTGTTTCTCCGTGTTTCCCGACGAGCGTTGAAGAAGATCGTTAGCCATCACTTCGGACTCTCGACTAATGGAAGAATTAACTTCATAACGGGAGCAAACGGTGGCCGGGCCAGGGGGACCCGAGGCTCTGCCAGGCGGTGCTGGAGGGGCTTATTATTCTGGCTTTTCTCCACGGCACGACCCCTGCTGTCACTGTTCTCAGCTTCGGGCCTAGCACACACCTGCAAGGACACCCTGGTCCCTGTGCTCGGCCTCTGCTCCCTCCAGTGTGCTGTCCGCCGCGGCCGCGGCCGGCAACAGCTGCCTGGCTCAGGACACGGGCCTGTGGACTCACGGCGAGCTGTCCCCTGGGTTTCTGCTCGCTCCCCCCATGATTCCCCAAGGAAAGGGTATTCTTTCAGGGCTCCCCCCTTTCTCCTGCTCCTCAGGAGTTACAAGGTAAGACACATCAAGAGGCCGCACCTCCCAGAGAGGAGACGCTTGGCCCTCATTCCAGGTGTTTCTAAAATGAAAGTTGTACTTAGGTCTTCGAGGGACATCATTACAAAGCTACCGTGATATATGGAGAGGCTTGATTCCAACTGTCAGCTTGTCGATTCTTTTGAGTAGGCTGGCGACTATTCTCGGGTTGGCCTTAATACGAAAGGAAAATGATAATAAGTCCGATTTTTATTTAGCAGATTTTTAAACCTAAAGCATGAATTTTCACATATATTAAAAAGTCAAAAGGGCTGTGGCTGTGGCTCAGTGGTAGAGCGCTTGCCTAGCATGTGGGAAGCACTGGGTTCGATTCTCAGAACTGCATATAAATAAATGAAAAACACTAAAGGTCCATCAACATCTAAAAAATATTTTTTAAAAATAGAAAAAAATTACATTTTGAGAAAATAGGTTTTGTCATAAATCAGTGACACAGGAGAACGAAGGACACCACGGCTGCTGACTTCTGAGGAGCTGAGGGCTGCAGACTTAGGCTCAGAAGGAAGAGAGCTGTGCTTCGCGCCGGGGAGCAGCGTGCTTTCCAGGCCCGGCTTGCAGAGAGGTTTGCTCGGCTCTCCAGAGCACAGAGGGGTTGTGCAAGGTGACCTTGCCTCCATAAATGGGAGCCTCCTCTGAAGGATGCTCTCGGGAAGAGCCTCCTGCCCACAGGACAGAGGCAGTAGCCACAGGACTCTCACAGGATCCAGGTGCGGTTGTCCTGGGGCCAGAATAGCTTGCTGGACAAGCTCAGGCAGCCCCAGCCTTCAGTTCACTCTGCAGAGGTTGCCAGTGCTCATGTGGGCCCCTCGGCTAGTCTCACGGAGCTGGAGGAGGGGAGGCTGCCCACAGCTCCACCTCCAGCCACCAGAGAGGCCCCTAAAGACAGGGACAGGCCTGAGACACTTTGCTCTGCCAGTCTCCCAAGCAGCTGCAGAAAGCAGATCGTGCCTACCAGGACATTCCCTCCAGGAAAAGCCCACCAGGAGCCCCCGGGGCACACAGCTGCCAGTCTGCCCATCAGAACAAGCCCTGGCTGCACGGAGAGCCTGACGGGCCGACTCTCTGGAAGGCTCTGCAGTCCTGGAGGAGCTGCCCAGCCGCGGACTGGCAGAGGGCAGTGAAAAATTAGAACAAACATCTGGTACATTTCCACAACACAAAACTTTGTCCTATCTTTAATCAAAACCACATTAAAAGAACATTTGCTCCTGGACAACTCACCCACATTGTTCCTGCTTCTGGTCAGGAGAGGAGGTCCGGCCCTCCGGAGACCTGGGTGGACCTCCCTCCCTCAGAGCACTCCACAGCCAGTCACTGTCAACCCTGGACCTGCCACATCTCTTCAAACCCTACTTCTCTGCACAGCTTTCTTGTGTCCTGCCCCCTAGGCTCCCACTGCAGGAGGCAGATGTCCTGTGGTCAGGACACTCTGAAGGCCGGGTGGGCAGCAGCCAGGACTGAGGACTCCAAAGGTGCCCCTTTCCGTGGCTGGGACGTGGGGTCCGGGAGGCCGCCCAGCCTCAGTGCCTGGTAGTTTCAGCCCAGCAAGCCTGCTACTGGCCTTGGGCATGGGCTGTCAAGCCCACATACACCTCTGCCACCAACCAGCTGAGCTCAGGGCTGAGTGGGTGGGATGGGAAGTGGCTCTCCAGGGAGCCAAGAGGGAAGGAACTAGAAACAACCACTTAACATCTATTTAGAGCCTGGAAGCATTTGTGGAAACCATCCCCATTACTGTTGAAAAGATGCAAATTTGGTGAAATCATCAGCTGTATGGCTCCAGGCTGTTTCCCAAGTACCCTGATTCCTAACAGGAGCGGAGGTATTAGTGTAAGACACCGGCAAGGCCAAGTTCACGTTGCTCAGAGGTAGCCCCGAACCAAACTCCACCAAGTGCTGAGGAAGATTTGTTATCTTGGGGAGACAGTTCATCCAATGAAGCCAAAAAAAAAAAAGAAAAAATACAAAAAAACAGAAAACTAGAGTCCTTAAGGCTGGTTACAGGGAGCAAAAGCCAAGCCCACCGGCACAGGGGGTGGGAGGCGGCTGCGTGTGTTCCCTCTTCCGCTTCCTTGAGGAGGTAGCTGCAAAGCTGCTTCAGAATGAAAGGCAATTAAGGCAGAGATGTTTTTCCAGCACTGTTTTAACTTCCACATCAAATATTCTTTCAGACATTCAGGAATACACTTATCTACAAATGAAGGGCATAAGCCACGCTATTGATTCTCACAGAGGACCTGCTCCTCTGCAAGGCATCCGAGCGGCTTCCCGAGACGCACGACAGTTCTGCTGCCATTAGAACACGGTCCAGCGAGGGACCCCCTGCAGATGCCGTACCCTCTTCTTGCTGGATTTCCCTGACCTCTTAGCCCCATTTCAGTTGGCAAGAGTTCGGGGACGAATTTACCAAATGGCTTAGCATGGCAGTCGATGTAATGCAGAAAATTGTTGTTCGTGCCTACACCATAGCAAGGACCTTAAGTGAAGCAGTTACAACCAGCCTAGAATGCCACGGCCTGTACGCTAAATATTTCATCAATTTGCTGAATATAAATTATATCTTCAAGCCCCAGCCCCCAGGATCAGGACATAAAGCACAGTTGGGTCAAGTGCTTTGAGTGGGGCCATACGAGGCATCTATAAAATACTTTCTTGTGATTTCATGTACAGTGACTTTGAAATAAGTTTAATGGGAAGACAAAGACCAGCAGCCGTGCCCGACTCCTCCTCACTGCTCTGGTCAGGCTGAAGGTTTGGCGCCTGCTCCCTCCTTTTAAACCAAAGAGGAAGAACCTAGGAGGGCACAATCCGGCTTTCAGGTCACTGCCTCCTGAAATGCTCGGTCTGGCTCATCACTGGGTAAGAACCTGAGCGTGAGTGAGGCTCTGCACGTGTGTGCGTGTGCGGGTGTGTCTGTGCTTCCTAAGAAGGATCCATAAAGCAGGAGAAAGAAACAGCCGTCAGGATGCAGCTGCATCATGCAGTGTGTATTTAGTTTTCTTTCATTTTTCCCCTCGGAGGATGGAGAGGGTGCTGTAATCTTCAAAATGCTGCAAAAATCATTTCTACAAATTGCTTTGCTTGTCTGCCTGTATACGTTAAGCTACACAAAATAAGCGAGGGGACCCTTCATCACAAAACACTTTTTTTTTTTTTTTTGCATTTTCTGTAACAACATAAAAGCTGCTGTTATGACAAGAAGTCTGGTAGTTCACTCTTTCATTTATAATTTAACCACAGCCTATATAACATAATCCAAAAAATATGGGGCATGATTAGTATAAAAATCAAATACAGCAGAGGCTTTTTGAATACTCCAAGAACAAAACAAAACCAAAAAAGGAGAGGGGAAGAAAACCTCGCAGGCCTCGGAATATATGTGGTATTTCTTTAATACTTCATTTTAAACTACCTAATTGTGTTTTTAAGCTTCGGTTCCTGTAATTTTGCAAGACGAGGCATTCCGGTGAGAAAACATATGGCGAGGGACTTGAAACCACATCGCGCGAGTGCATCATAGACTTAGCTGCTGTTTTAGTGTCACAGAAACCCACCACTGAATTTATCCAGTCACCCATTAAAGAAAGAAAAGAATTAAAGGAAAAGGAGGTTTTAAATCCCCTAATGCTACAAGAAGGAGTGAAATATGGTGTCAAGTTCAGGAGAGGATGGTGGAGAAGCCTCAGACTTCTTGCAAGACCGGCAAAGGGCAGTGGGTGAGCTGGAGGCTGCGGAGGCTCCCAGAGCTCAGCCTTCAGGCGGCGGCTGGGGCCAGACGCAGCTTCCCACCCAGCACCTTCCCCACTCAGCTCTGCACACTGGCACCGCTCAGGATTGGCACTTTAACTTTGTTCCCTGACAGGCAGGCAGGCAGGCAGGCTCAGAGGTATATAAAGACGTCCATGCCCAGGTAGATGAATGGATAGAGACATGGGTAAGTGGATATGAGCTTCTATTGTTCAAGTCCCTTTGTAAAAACTTTCATTTACAAATAGTCGCCTCTATTAAAGGACAACTGTTTGACATCGATCTCTTTTAAGGAGAGATACTGAATCAGCAATTTGAGTGAGCATCGCCATGCAGTGACAATAAAAAGCTCTGATGGTGACAAACTTCAACATTCACAAATAAGATCTAGAAGGGATTCCAACACTTAAAATATCTGCTCTACGAATACCTGTTCAGCTCTACACACACAGAGGGTGTACGTGGGTGTGTGCACGTGGGTGTGACTCCTCAGCTTGTGTGCACGCAGGAGAATGGGGGTGGGAAGAGAAGCATCCAGACATGAAGCAATGTATATCATTATTCAAATGACAATCAGATTCACCCTTAAATTACACTGGTGTCTCTTATCAGAAATTGTTTCCTATACTCTAATATGGTGCAATAAGTGGACATTAATTAATGCTAAATTACAATGGAATTACATATTATATCCACATGAATACCGAATGACTCCATTATGAATAATATTATTACAGTAAATACTAAAGGACCTGCACGTGGTTTGTCCCTCATTATGAAGTGTTGACAACTACATATGACCTTAAATTAACATAAACTTTTAACTGCGATGACCACACAGAGAATCTCGGATTCCTGCTACTTGAAAACTGTAGCCAGAGTGACGCAGAGGGAAGCCGAAGCCGAGTGCCCAGTCCTCCTGGAAGTCGGAGTCATCCCTGCGACAGCCGTTTTCGGCTCAGAATGCCATTCGGGCTGTGCTCTCAGCACTGCCGAGTGTGGCTCCCCTTGGCTCAGCTGAGGTTTCAAGAGATCCACGCACAACTCAGCGGAGCCTCTTGTTTCGGTGGGTGGTCATTTTGTCTTCGGAGGGAAAACCCTTAACCCTTTCCACTGCCAGCTTTGGAGATTTAGAAAGGCCCCAGTGGTATTCTTTTTTTTCTTTCTTTTCCTGCAAGGCTAAACGGAGTGAGAACAGTCTAAGGTGTTAATCTTGATAATTAGGCCACAAAAGCAATTAGAGGTCTAAAAACCTTAAGGCACAGAAAGCGATTTTTTTGTTTATTTGCTTACCTTATTAAGTTAAATATCTGTCTGAATTAATCGCTAATGAATGTGAAGAAGGCTCAATAAGAACCGGCTTAATGAACAGCAGTGTCAGTTGCATTTTACAAGATCCCAAATCATCGAAGATCGCAAGCCAACTTACTATTCAAAATTACTTTTCTGCCCAATTTTCTGTTTTCAAAGCAGTAAATTATTTACATTTATTGTGCTTATTTAAGCACTTAAATGACTATGAATAGAGTACAGGCACATTTTAAAAATATAGAACCATTACACAACCCTACTGCTAGAAATTCCGGTTATTTTCCCCTGAAGACTGCTTCTTCTACTTTTCTAATCTCTCTTTTACAACAATTCATGAAGAAGGCCATTATTACATTGAACATGTTTTAATAAGTTATTTATTATTTAACATGTTTTAAGAGGCAGAGTCACAGAAGCCAGGTTGCACACACCAAGAACAGTCCCTTTCACACCCGTGCAATTGCCTGAGCCCAAGTGCTTGAGTTTCCAGAATGAAACTATGCTGTCCCTCACTCGGAACATGTAAAAGGTGCTTTCCACCACTAGACACTTTGTAAACAGTGCTATTTGAAGAGCTCTATTATACTAATTATTGTCTTTGGAAATTATCATTTAGCATATTTATTTCCTCTAAGAGTTATTAATTTAAAATCAGTGACCATGATTTTTTAAAAAATGCACAGCTGCTCTCAGGAACAAATTCACTGTCCTAAGTTGCACGTCACGCACAGAGAGGCAGCCTGTGCGAGACCCTCCCCAAGTATTTGCACATTCTCTGAGTACCCCAGCTACGTGCCGCACAGCAATTGACCGCTGCCAAACCCATAGATGGTCCAGAGTCATCAGACCGAGGTGAAGAGCACGTAACCAAAGGCACAGGAAGGGAATAATAGATGATTGACTGATGGCAGCCGGGAAGGAAAAACAGAAAGGAAAGAGAAAGGAAGAAGGATTCCTGGCCTGAGACGGAGCGTGTGGGCCGTTCTGCCTGCTAGACTGGGATCCAGCAGCAGGTTCAGGCACCTCCCTTCCATTCTTTCAGACAAGGGCAGTAAAACTTTCCTGCATTTTCAAACGCAGACAGAGGCTCTCCAGCAAGTTTCTCTGTGTGCTGCATGCATTTACATGCATAATACGGTGTGTGTGCTGGATCTCACGGCAGCCGTTCCTTAAGTAGCAAGAAATGGGGGTATTTTTCAAAAGTGATTTCAAAGGGCATGTGTGTCTGTGTGTGTGTGTGTGTGTGCTTGCGTGAGCACACGCACACGGCCACACCAAGGCTGCCACATTTAGTATTCAGACTTAACCATTTGAATGTATTTTCCCAAACGATACCAGGGGCAGCGTAACATCTACTGCTAAAAAGCATAACATCTACTGTTAAAAAGCCCCATGCTATTCATAAGAGGGTATACTGGAGTAAACATTACAATAGCAGTAATGATCTAATTAAAAGAATCAGACATACTTAAAAGAGTCCCTTCTTTTGGGGGAGGGAGAGAGAAAAATCAATGATGCAATCTATAGTCCAGAACCGGGCGAAGGCTTTTACTGTGATCAAGAGCAGTCTATCTAGTACATGTCTGAAGTCCTCTGGTCTTTGTTACTTAATGTGATGCGGAAGATCAAAGATGCGTGCAGTATGTGTTCCAGGGTTCCAGCTGAGCTGCTGTCATATGTTAAGCTTTTTTTTTTTTTTTAGGTTGGCTATCATCCTACCTTACTCCAAGCAAATCGTGTTTCCATGAAACTAAGCATGTTCCTGAATCTAGCCGGGGTCTGGTGTGGGATTTTCCTGAAGCAACCTGAATGTGGCCATGAAGCATGTCTTTGCCTCTAGGTTTGCACAGCACTGAGCCTGGTGCAGGCTCCCATGTCCCCACCGCATGTCCAGAAACCCGGCACTGTGGCAGGAAGGATGCCTGGGGAGGAGAGAGGGAAGCGTGGACACTCTGGCTAGTTGTCTATGTGAGCCCGACGCCCATGTCTTCCTGCACTCAGAGGACACTGTTTATCAGTGATACTCTCCTTTTCACCTACCTCCCCTTGAAGTCCGGCCTGCATCCCAGTCTTGAGATGTGGTCGGACAGAACTGCAGCAGGTTGGAATCAGGAGCAGGAGGCGGAGGAGGTAGGAGTCTCCACGGTGGCCTGGAAGCCATCCCCCGGGAGGCCACAGGGGGGAGCTGTGGCTCTGCTCAGGGCTGCCAGAGCCGGTGGGGGAGGAGAGGGAGGAAAATACACTGTCGCGGAGCAGCGGTGGAAGGGGAAAGGTAGGTTTTATAAGTTCCTGAATTTTATGACTATGCTGCAACAGTGGAATGTCCACTCAATCTGTTGCGAAGTTAGCACAGAAAACATGCACTGGGCATATTAAGTACAGGATGAAATGGCGCAGTGAATATTTATTAGCAAAAGTATAGGTTCTCAAAAACAGAAATAAAACAGGGTAATAGATGAAGGGAAGAATAGATTTAACACTGAAATAAATATCAAAGGTGCAAAGAAAAGGCAAAATATAGTGTTCAAACAAAGCTGTGAATTGGGTCCAGATTTAATGCC